GGGGAGGAGGAGAGGGGGGGTTGCATCCCCTAGGCACGGCTGGCGGGCTCATACGGGGAATCGGAGGGTCGGGGTGGGGGAGGATGTCGTGCTTAGAATGACATCACGGCATGCCCTCGTGCCGCTAGCCGCGACTTCTCCCCTTTTGCCCCCCTCCGCTAGAGCGACCGACACCAGCATGCATTTGAAGCTCGCCCAAACACCATGTGGCGTGGTGTGGTGTGTGGTTTGTGTGTGTGTGTGCATCCTTGTCGCACCCCGTCTGGCTAATGTGCACAGTCGAGAGGAAAAGGCAGAGACTGAAATTGGGGCTGGGGGGGGGTAGGGGGTAGGAGACAAAAAGAGGGAGAGCTAAAGGCAAGGTGGGGGGGGTGGGCGTCGCGTGGCCGGCCTCACATGTTTTCGGGGCCCTGTATGGCCACATAGGGCCTCCCGATGGCGCCATGGCGCGCCCCGCCCCGCCTCACTTGGTTATTGATGCAACAACGGCGGTGTGTCGGCCGCGCTGGGTCGAGGCGCTGCTGGTGGTGCGGCGGGGCGCTGTGGTGGTGTACTCGAGGGTGTAGTGGAAAAGTGCCAGTGGTAGGGGCTCCGGCAGCAGAGAGAGAGAGAGAGAGAGAGAGAGAGAGTCTGGTACACGCTACGGGAGACGGATGGCCGTGGGATATAAGGATAGATGGATGGATATGGTCTGATGGACAGATGGAGAGTTTTGCCAGGCTCGCCTTTATTCAAGGAGCTTGCTGCCCTTTTCTGATTATTTTGACTTTTCGCTGTGGAAAAACACATGTTTCACGTTTCTGGCCTCACATTGTATTTAAATGCATGCATCTTAAGACTGCGTTAAAAGACCTGGACATAAACTTATCTTCTAAGCGATGTCCGCTTGTCCCCCTTGAAGGTGGCTCTGCCTCACTAAATGTTGGTGACGAAGAGGTCGCGTTCTGTTCCTTGCTCCATATTTTCGGAGCCCAGTATATTCCCTTTCCTTTTTTCCTCTTCCGTGCCCGTTCTGATGTACCGCGCACAATGACTCTATAGACCGACCGCATCGCATCGCACGCAAAGTGGCGCTCGCCACGCACACCGTGTCCTCAAGCAGGACCTTTGTCTCGGGACAAAGAGAGAGAGAGAGAGAGAGAGAGAGAGAGAGAGAGAGAGAGAGAGAGAGAGAGAGTAGGGGTGGTGCCACGTGCCGCTCCAATCGCGGCGGAAGGACACAGCAGGGAAAAGCGGGGCGAGCGAGAGGAACGTAAAATAGAGAGAGAGAGATTTGGGAAAGAGGCAGGGGAGAGAGATGGAGAGAGAGCAGCAAGAGGAAGGGGGAGGGAGCGGAAGCGCAGAGAAGTAAAGGAAAAGGGGATGTGGTGTGTGTGCGTCTAGGTCCAGCCGAGACTCCCATATGGAAAAATATGACCGGCGCGCTGAGCCCAGCAGATGTTATAGCAGTACAGGGGGCGGCCTGCGGGGAGCGGCGCAGCGCGGAGCAACTGCAGAACGGATTAAATAATTCCTGGAGCGGGCGGGCGGAGCGGGCTCGCCCTGGCGGCGGCCCGGCCGCGCCGTCCCCGCCCCTGCTGCCGCCGCCG